ATGACCCATCCAAACTCCATACTGTTTGCATCCTGGTTCTTTGTATTGCTGAGTAGTTTAGAGATGCATCCTGAATATTTGGAATATTATACACTCTGAGTAATGTTTTCCCCCTTTTCAGGCAGCCGACCTGGTTTAGTTCAAGCTGAAGGTTCCAATCAGTCTTCTGTTGGTTGTGGTTTTAAGTGTTAACATTCAGAGCCTTTGCAGTGTTCTTTGGACCTTTCCCATGCACATGCTACCCAGTTGCACCTGTAGGAGGGTAGCATGCAGGATCTTAGTTCCCCAACCGGGGATCGAACTGGGACCCCAGCATTGAAAGAATGGAGTCGTAACCACTGGGCCACCAGGGAAGTCCTGGAGGTCTGTCTCTTAGTCTGAAGGTCTGTTAGTTTTTTGTTTATTTTTTGTTTTTTTCCAAAGTCTTTTGAATGCTGCTTAGGATCAGGTCCACACATACACAGTTGGGGAGTTCATAAATCACTGATTGGGTTATTTTCTAAGCTCCCCATATTTGGGGGACTCTCTGGGGATTTTCAATCATCTAACTATAAACCTGAGACTTTATCCACCTCTGCTTCAAACTTCCTGGAACTGTACTGACATCTGGGGCCAAGGAGGGGCAGAACAAAGAGACAAAAAGGAAGAAAGGGGCAGAGTTTGCCGCCACTGTCTTGGGGCTACAGTTTCTCGGACCAAAGAGGAACATTCTCTTTGTTTAGAGTTTTAGGTGCCAGCGGGCTCCTACTGCTGCTGCTGTCACCGTCAGGAGATATCTTTGCTACTTCTGATTCTGTTCTAGAAGATTTCCTCCAGAACTTTCTCTGTTTGTGCTGATACTCACTTTCATGTTTCAGGTGATCTGAGTCTAGGCTAAGGGGCTACTGGAGGAAAAAACGGACAAATTTAACTGCAATAAAGCAGTTGGATGACACTTCAAAGTCTAGTCTTCTCCACCAGTTGCCTTGCCACTGTTTACTTTTCAGAGTACTCAAATAACCACTCCATGCACTCTGTATAGATTTTTAAAGTGTATTTAGTGGTTGAATCAGGATGAAGTGTGATTATCTTACATAGAACTCCTTATATATGATATGAAAGTGAAAGTGTTAGTTGGCTCAGTCGTGTCTGACTCTTTGCGACCCCGTGGATTGTAGCCCACCAGGCTCCTCTGTCCATGGGATTCTCCAGGCAAGAATACTGGAGTGGGTTGCCATTTCCTTCTCCAGGGGATCTTCCAGACCCAGGGATCCAACCTGGGTCTCCCACATTGCAGGCAGATTCTTTACCATCTGAACCACTAGGGAACCCCTATAACCCTAGTCTTAGCCCTTGCTGGTCTAGTCTCCACTTTGCTTCTGGGGTTATCTTTGTATAATACAAATGTAAATAAGCAGCATGCCTTGCTTAGGATTCTTGAGTGATTCGCTATGGCTCCTGGGATGTTCCAGCTCCTTAACCTGTGTTCAGTACAGCCTTTTAACACACTTCTAGTCCCCAGTGCCCAGATTGGAGAAAATGTAGTTTCCCAAGAGCATGGGACAAACTCTTGTTTCCGTTTTTTTTTTTTCCTTTCTCTGTTCTGTGCCTCCCTGGCCCTAGACATGGGCACCAAAAAGAGCATTCTGTATTGAAATTTCTATGTGGAAGTGTTATTTTAAAAAATAGTAGCTTCATGCCTTGAATTGTGGTTTTATTGCTATAAAATCCAATCTCATAATTTCCTAAAACTTGGCTTTAGTTTCCCAACCATGACTAATATACATAATACTAACCATGACATTTTCTCCATGTGTATAATCAAGACTTATAAAGACAAGGAGAAAAAAGTAGTTAACCCTATAAAATAGCACTGTATGTCTATAATTTTCACAAAAGATACAGCCTTCATATGAGTCTGTTCCTCATTTTCTGTATTAGAATTTTCAAGAGTTCTACTTGACAGGTACAGTTGCAATGAGCTTCTGGTGCCCTGACCCTGAATTATATTGTTTAAGGGACAGCCTTAGAGAACAGCATTTTGTCTGATCAGACATGCCAAAACACGAGTTGTAAAAGTAGCGAGATATGAGACATATTTGAAGAAATAATGTAATACCAAGCTAGCAAAATAAAGGAACTCTTCTATTCAAGTTTCTTGAAAAACTAGTTCAGCATTAGAAAACAGTAAATAAGGAGCCACTTTACCTACAAAGCCATGAAGTGAGACAGATCTGTTTTATTCTTGCTTCTTTTGAGCCATATGGCCTTAGACAAGGTCCTTAATCTCTCTGAATTTCAATTTCTTCATCTGTAAAAGGGAAATATGTTTGTTAAATGAGATAGCAAAAAAAAAAAAATGTGTACACGTATATGTTCAATACATAAAGATCCCTCTCTTAGAGCATAGACTTTTAAAATAGACAATCATGGTTTCATCTGAAATCATAGCATGAACTTTCTGCTGCTACTTTGAACAGATTATTAAAAAAACCAAAAAACTTTGACACTTCCCCTTCTCCCACATCACACACTTCTTCTAATCCAGGGAAATTGAGAAGGTAAGAAGAACTAGAGGAGAGTGATGCTTGAAGGCAAGATAAGACCTTTCACATCTTTCTGCAAGTTAGAATAATAGCACTTCAGCAGCTTCACTTCAGTTCTTTCGGCAGTTCCTAAGCTGAACTCTTAATGCTCAGCATCATGAAGAGTGGATATTGGCAGCTATGCAATTGCTTTTATAACTGGTTGTCTATGACTGTTGTACCACTTCCAAATAAAAAAACCATCTCCAAAGTGAGTTCTTGGATATATTCAGAGAGTTTGTACTATTACGTATTAAGAATCTATATACAGGGGCACCTTTAAAAAGGCCAGGAATGAGCATTTTAGACAAGTTTTAGAGATATTATAGTTGAATGATAACAACCCCATAGAAAGCTGTGAGAGAGGCAAGGCCTCAGCTAGCCTCCCATTTCTTCTCTGCTTCCTCTTTTCTTGCCCTTTAACCCCTGTGATTACCCCAAGTCCTTCTGGAACTTCTCGGTTGACCAGATGGCTTCTTTTTTTCTTCTTTTCTTTTTACCTTCATTTTATCCCTCTTGTTTTCATCTGTCTTCAGTAAGGAGTCTCTGTTAAAAAGCCCTCCCTCCTTTCTCTCTTCCTAACTTCTCCCACATCACACACTTCTTCTAATCCAGGGAAATTGAGAAGGTAAGAAGAACTAGAGGAGAGTGATGCTTGAAGGCAAGATAAGACCTTTCACATCTTTCTGCAAGTTAGAATAATAGCACTTCAGCAGCTTCACTTCAGTTCTTTCGACAGTTCCTAAGCTGAACTCTCAATGCTCAGCATCATGAAGAGTGGATATTGGCAGCTATGCAATTGCTTTTATAACTGGCTGTTTATGACTGTTGTACCACTTCCAAATAAAAAAACCACCTCCAAAGTGAGTTCTTGGATATATTCAGAGAGTTTGTACTATTACGTATTAAGAATCTATATACAGGGGCACCTTTAAAAAGGCCAGGAATGAGCATTTTAGACAAGTTTTAGAGATATTATAGTTGAATGATAACAACCCCATAGAAAGCTGTGAGAGAGGCAAGGCCTCAGCTAGCCTCCCATTTCTTCTCTGCTTCCTCTTTTCTTGCCCTTTAACCCCTGTGATTACCCCAAGTCCTTCTGGAACTTCTCGGTTGACCAGATGGCTTCTTTTTTTCTTCTTTTCTTTTTACCTTCATTTTATCCCTCTTGTTTTCATCTGTCTTCAGTAAGGAGTCTCTGTTAAAAAGCCCTCCCTCCTTTCTCTCTTCCTACACTCAAAATGTAGTTTTATGTACAGACCTGAGATATCACTAAAGATATCAATGGTTAATAAATGGTTGTTGTGTTACCCTCCCCAGGGGATTTCTTTTTAAGCTTGCAAGTCCTGAAGACTGGGCAGTGCCTTCAATTGAGAAAGGAAGTGTCATAATATAGAATTCTAAGCTCATGACTGTGTGGAGGGATGTTAGCCAGAGAGATGCCCCCGGGATACTTCACATCACAGGAGGGAGCAGCTGCCTTCCCCATCGATGTGATTCAGCCACTTTGACAGTGAAAACATTGATTGAAAGTCCATACAGGGCCAGCAATGACTTACAGATTTTTCCTTTTTCTCTGCCATTCCATTTGACTTCAGATAGGCAAGAAGTAGGAAAACAAAAAACAAACAAAGAGAACCTGATTAAGATGCCCGAGTTACTTCTTTTAGTTTCAAAATGAAAAATTTTCACTTTTAGCAGAATTTATGAATTGTGCCCAGAAGAGACGTCAGATTTGTCCCTAATGTCTTTCCTCTGTATTTCTTTAAGTTAAACAGAGTGTGTGTTAGTTGCTTGTCATGTCTGACTATTTGTGACCCCACCAGGTACTTTGTCCATGGGATTCTCCAAGCAAGAATACTGGAGTGGGTTGCCATTTCCTACTCTAGGAGATCTTCCTGACCCAGGGATGGAACCCAGGTCTCTTGCATTGCAGGCAGATTCTTTACCATTTGATCCATAATCTCAAATCTTAGAAGGTGCTTCTTGGAGAGTAAAAAGGTTTGACTCATTTTTGCAAAGTCATCTTCCAAACCCGAGTTACTAAAATGGCTATGTTTTCTAAGGATCTCAAAGTCCCCTCTCCTCAGGATTTCTGGGAGGTGTGTTAGCTCTGTTTTATAGAAGAACCTAGACGAAACCTTGAGAAGTTGAGAGGCCTGCTTAGGGTATATAGTAAGTTGCCACATAGGGAAAAGGGGCAAAGGGACTTTGGTCTTGGGGCTTTAATATTAGAGCACTCTCCTCTTCAGAAAAGCTTTGCTAGTCAAGGGTGGGAGTGGGGAAGAGGTTGCAATCAGCCTTCTGGCTGATGTCTTGAGTTGATTGAGGTCAGCCAGAGGGGAAGGGTAAGACCAGTTATGCTTTGATTTCTGTCGGTATGTGATTCCTGCAGTCTGTTAGACTAGCTGCTTTCCTCCCCTGTTTCCCTCACAGGCAGGCTCGTTGCTGGAGATGACTGTCAGCTGCTTTCCCCACACTGCCACCATCACATGCCCCACCACCGGAGCCTCAGAAGCCTGACCACAGACCAGCATCTCCAAGGCATGAATAATTAGGTAGGCATAATGGAAGGCACTCACTGCTCCCTCCAATTGCGTAAACCCATTACCGAACTCTGCTACATCAGCTTCTATCTTCCAAGGGGTGAAGTCAGAGGATTTTCGTACAAGGACACCGTAACTCTAGACAGAGCCAGTAAAGGGTTTCATAACTGCTACCAAGTCAGGGAGGGGTCCGACATCCACAGCCTCAGCCTGCAGCCAAGCGAACATCCAGGCGACATCTTTTTCAAGCCAACTCCCACGAAAGACATTCTGACTGAGCTGTACAAACTCACCGCCGAGAGGGAGAGACTGCTGGCCGGTCTGCTGAGCTCAGACCACATCCTGGGGATTACGATGGGGAACCAGGAGGGGAAGCTGCCTGAACTCTCTGTGAGCCTGGCCCCCGAGGATGACTCTTTCCAGAGTGCTGGCGACTGGCTGGGGGAGCCCGCCGTGGGCTGTCTCAACAAGAGGAGCTCCCACGGGATCAAAAAGGCCCGGAGGTTTGGTGGAAGGAGAGGGAGCTTTGACGGACTGTCTCAAAGCTCCCTGCAGAAGAGGGCAAGAAGAAAGGGGCATGGGGAACAGGAATTGGGTCCCCTGCTGGGGAAGGACCAGGTCTTTTCCAGCAGTTCCCTTCCTGTCTCTCGAACAAGGCCTCATCTTGGGCTTCTGGAGGAGAGAGGCAACTTGCTCCTCGATGGGACGCTTACTTCATCCCTGCGGAGGAGAGAGAGCTGCACCCTAGAGGTCCCCAGGCCACTGGATGCTGACTCTGGCTCGGGAAGCATCAAGAAGCCTTCTGAAGATGTGGGGCTGGGAAGGGGCGGGCTGCCCACTGACTGCAGCTCCACGGAGCCAGGGGATGATAGCGCGAGGGAGCTAAAGAGAACCCCTCGCAGGCTGTTGCATCAGCAAACAGGCTTGACTGAAAGTCACAAGGAGCCTGAGAAAGAACCAGAGGCAGAGAGAGGCCGGAGAGCAAAGGCTGCTGAGTGGACTCACAGGAAGAAGCCTGTCTCCAGAGTGGTGGCCAGAGTCCAGGATCTGTCCACTCAGGTACAGAGAATAGTCAAAACGCATCCTGCGGGTGAGGCAAAGATTGCCCCTGGCCTAGCAGCCCCAGCTGAGTTCATACCCAGCGCAGACTTGCTCACACTCCCGGGAGCTGAGGCTGGGGCTTGGGGAGCCAGGGGCCTGGACAAGGAACAGCGAAAGGACAGGTCATGGCAGCCATCAGCTGGGGAATGCCCCCCAGCCAGCACTGAGGGGGCTGTGAACAAGGTCCTTCTGAAGGTGATAGAGAGCGAGAAGTTAGATGATGCCGCTGAGGGCAAACGGCTGGGCTTTCCCTTTGGGACCATTGGCATCCACACCCTCCCAGAAGCCAGGAGCAGGAGGGGAGCTGGGCTTGGAAGAGGCAAAACCTTGTTTCTGGATCTGCCCCGTGGTGGCGTGGACCCTGGAAGTGATGAGAAGAGGCTGCCCCCACCAGCGCTGGCCACTCTTGGCTCGGTAATTAATAATTCATCCTTTCCACCCAGCACGCACAAGCGGATGTCACCTGTTCCCTCCCCTCTCTCTCCAAGGCTCCCCAGCCCTCAGCATCATCACAGGATCCTCCGGCTCTCCTCACCGCCTGGAGAGAGGGGAGCCGCTCTTGATGACTCTCTTTCCCGAAGGAGCCGTGCTTTCTCTGGGTCCCTCTCTGCTGACACCTTGGAGCCACCATCCTCTGCCAAGGTCACGGAGACCAAAGGGGCCAGCCCCACCTCCCTCAGAGTGGGCCAACCTCGGTTGGTGCCCAGGGAACCTCTGGAAAAGACCTTGGGGCCGGGGAGGACCACAGCTCAGCCCCAGCACCAGTCACCTCCAGGTTAGTCCCGGTTTAAAATGCTTTACGTGTGTTCACGGGCGACCTGCTTGTGCTATTCAGAGACTGGCTAATTAACAATGAGTCGATATTCCTTGCCCAAGTCAATTCACCTTATAACAGTACAGCTGGGAGTGTTATTAAGGAGTGTGGAGATGGTGTTGACTTACGGGGTTAGGGGTGTAGTTGCTTCTAGAAGCAATATTTTGTAAATGCCTTAAATTTTTTTGTTTGTTTTGGCATGCTCCAAAGCTGCCTCCATGGCTCCTGAACACAGGACTCTCAGAGGAAACAGGACTGGGCAGGGAGAAGTAGCAACTCGTCACTGCCTTTGATGCTAATTGGCCCCTTGACCTAAATTCTGCTGTTCACGCTGCTGGGGTAGCCTGGATTGGTTGGGATTCTCTAAGAAGAGTGGAAGCATACTGTGTCTTTGCGATTCTATTGTCAGAGGTTTCAGGTTTTGGTTTTGCTTCTTTATAGTGATCACTTTTGTAAGTGGTCTTATTTTATGACAAAAACTTTTTTTTAAATACTAGAAGAGGGATGAATTCTAACTTGAAGAAACTTGGTTCAGATTTTCTGTTGTTTTTTTTTGTTAACTCTTTTTTAAAATTTCTCAAATTAAGCACAAAGTAATGTTTATCCTGAAGTTATGTTTTATATATATGGGTTTTTGCTGTTACTGGTATAACATCATGTCTTATGCAGAAGGTGCTAAAGAGCTAATTTGGCTTGTATGTTTCATGTGATTTAAAATTTTACATGAAAATAGTTCTGGCGGTTCATAAGTGGGTTCAATAAGACCCAAAAAGACAGTTTATTAAAGTGCCACTCCTGTATTCACACCGTGTTCCAGTCCAGTGCGGCCAGGTGCTCAGGGTATTGCATGCCTTTGTGTAGGTAATAGGTTCTTTTTCAGTAGTCATTTCACAGCATATGGTCAATGCTTTGTCTGGGCTCATAATATAACGTAGAGTCCCTTAAAGGTTAGAGGAAACATCATGTGAAATTTTTGAGATTAAAAATATCTATCTAGGAAAGAGAAATGTAAAAAGCTTCTGTTCATTTTGAACTCTTGCCGTTTTATAAATTTCTCTAAATCACTGATCCAGGGTGTGATTCTTTAAAGTGTAGTAAATGTTCTTTGTTTTGTGTTTGTAGTATACTGCTCTTAGTTTGATGACACTTGCTACTTCCTAATAGAACCAAACTGCTTCATCAGCAAAGTCATAGAATTGTCGATTTTATATCATGTGTCATTGAACCCTAGTGATGAAAATCCTTTCTCTGTGTGAATGCTGGCGCCTTCGAAATACTGGGAAAGGAAGCTCTCTGCAATTATTAGACAGAGACTACTAGAGACTGGGCATGCAAGAGCCACCACAATCCCAAAGGCTCTTTTTAAAAGTCACACTAAAAAAATAAAATAAATAAATAAATAAAAGTCACACTAACTCCTACGACTGGGTGTGCCTCTTCTCCAGAAACCGCATTAAGCACACTGAACTTCAGTAAATGTCCCCCCATCCCAACTTAGAATTATCTTTTTATTTTGTTGTCCTTTTTCTATTAATAAAAAAAGGGTATTATAAAAGTTCTATTGTATCTGGGTCAAGGTAGGTGCGCCGAGGACACTCAGTTTCTCTGATGACTGACCTTGAACTCACTGAAGGGCCAGTTCAACAGATGGTCACCCTTTCGCGAGACCTCGCCATCCAACTGCTCAGAACCATTCCCTTTTCTTTGGTCCCAGCCTTCTGCTGGGATCTTCACAGCACTTTAGGATCCAGTCATTAGAGTCAGGTGGATTCCTTGGCAGGAAGACTGCCTGTGCTTCTAACATTTTATTAAAAAATAGGCGTTGGAAAACAGAAAAATGGGAGCAGGAGAAACCTTGTTTTTCTGGCATGGGTAACTTCTCTTTTGCTGGGACCATCCTCTGGGACATCCAAACATTGTTTCTTATCATCATCCTTCTTTGAAAAGTGTGAAGGGAGGGAGTTCTCCAGATACTATTTTTCATCTGTATCTTGCTTTCCTGTCTTATGTCTCCCATCAGTCCCCCTTCTCTGTGGCCATGAGTCCTCATTGTTTTATGGATCCTTCAGTGACTTTCAGCAGCTGGTGGGTCCACACAGGGAGAATTTTCCTGCTTCCGGCTGCCTTTGTGTTTCATTTCACTTCTCCTACTTGCATATCCCAACGGCAGCCTCAGACAGCCCCATATGAGGGTGGATCATTCATTTACCATCACCCAGCAGCAGCTCTTTATCTGTTTCCAGTTCCCACCTTTCTCCCACGTTAGCTATTAACCACATTGAGTTTATGGTCTGTAGACATTTATTTCCTGTGGAAATAGCATCTAGGCATTTAATTGAAGTGATGCGATTAAGGTTATTGAAAGCACTTATTAACTACTCAAGTAAGAGATTAAGTCTGGCAAAATAATGAGATCTGTTTCCAGTTGGAGGGCTCTTTAGTGTTATGGGCAAGTAGTAATTCCCAGGAAAGACTGAAACCTGCTTCTCCTTCTCACAAGACCAGGCAGTGAAAGCCAACATTACCATCCACGCAGGAAATAGCATGACCGCCCTTGGTCCACCTCCTTTTGGCTTTATAATTTTTCTTACTTTTCATTCCCAGGTCTGTGCACAGGAATTTCTTGTCTGGTGGTGATATGATCAAACAGAGAATATGCTAACAATGAATGGTGGCCAGATTGTCCTCCATGGTCCTCCCCTTCCCACACCCTCATCCTCACCACACTGCCACCCTGGTTTTATGGAAGCTGCTGTATGTTATGTTCCCAAGCCTTTGTGGAATGTAGTATTTTCTCAAGCCTGAGAAAATACTGTTAGCCTGCATGGTGATATCCTTGGGGCTGGGATTCCCTTCTGTTTTTCTGGCCTTCTTTTAACTTTGATCTGAAATAGACCCTTTTAATGCCAGAAGAATCACATGGAACTTGACTTACCATACTTAGGAAGATCCCCAGTGCTGCAGTGCTCTGCTCAACAACCTCATGATCGTTCTCCTTTGAAGTTACTGAGGTAGTGATGGAGCCACATGCCCCAGGCATGGTTCCCTTTGATACTGTGAATCATTTGACCAGTGCTTATGCCCATCATGGGACTTCCCTGGTGGATCAGATGGTAGAGGCATCTGCCTACAATGGGGAAGACCAGGGTTCAATCCCTGGGTTGGGAAGATCCCCTGGAGAAGAAAATGGCAACCCACTCCAGTACTCTTGCCTTGAAAATCCCATGGGTGGAGGAGCCTGGTTGGCTACAGTCCATGGGATCACAAAGAGTCGGACATGACTGAGTGACTTCACTTCACTTGTGCCCATCAAAAGATGTAATTAATGTCAACTGATTATTTATAGTAGATTTTGTATCTAATGCTACTGTCAAAGCTTTGATTTCTCTTTGGACATACATTATGGGAAGTAGATATCAATTCCCCCTGTATTGATATTGAGGTTTGATAAATCCCAATAAAATTTTTAAGAAGCTCCACAACACTGGCTATATCCAGCCATTGAAGATGACTACTGAAAGTATGTAATACATAGAAAATTATCTGTAATTTATGTTGACGGAAAGTAAGATCAGGGCTTCCCTGGTGGCTCAGTGGTAAAGAATCTGCCTACCTATGAAGGAGACACAGGTTCGATCCCTGCTCTGGGAAAATCCCACGTGTAATTGAAACTATATGTAACTTTGACCTACCAACCCTATTTTAGAACTTTAGGTCACACAAATAGATGCACTAGTAAGAATATATGTATAAGGTTGTTTATTGCAACATTATGTATAGTAGCCAAAGCAGCTGGGGAAAAAAATGGAGTGTCAATCAATAGAGAAATGGCTACATAAATTTAAATATATTTAATCTGGTCCCATCACCTCATGGGAAATAGATGGGGAGACAGTGGAAACAGTGTCAGACTTTATTTTTTGGGGCTCCAAAATCACAGCAGATGGTGAGCGCAGCCATGAAATTAAAAGATGCTTACTCCTTGGAAGGAAAGTTATGACCAACCTAGATAGCATATAGGGAGTTGGTGATGGACAGGGAGGCCTGGCGTGCTGTGATTCACGGGGTCACAAAGAGTCAGACATGACTGAGTGACTGAACTGAACTGAACTGAATCTCTAAAGAATGGAACTAGATATTTAGCAAGTTGAAAAATAAGGTAGAGTATGCTCTGTCTTTCTAAAGACAACAAATCACACTCCTTTCTATATATGAATATATATGTTTGGTATGGGTTTTAATATCATGGAAACAGTGTAAAGAAAGATAGTTCAAGGTGTTCACATTCTATATCTAAGGGCAAGGCAAGGTGAAGGTGGGGAGTGAGGGGAAGGGGAAAGAACTAGAAGTACTGGGGAAGAGCATTGACTTTTCTTTACATATTTTTACACTGGTTGTAATGAATGTATCACTTTTATGATTTTTAGAGTTGTTGTTGTTCAGTCGCTAAGCATGCCAGGCTTCCCTGTCCTTCACTATCTCCCTAGGTTTGCTCAAACTCATTGCTTTTTGAGTCAGTGATGCCATCCACCATCTCATCCTCTATTGCCTTCTCTTCCTTCTGCTCTCAATCTTTCCCAGCATCAGGTTCTTTTCCAGTGAGTCAGCTCTTCACGTTAGGTGGCCAGATTACTGGAGCTTCAGCTTCCACATCAGTCTTTCCATTGAATATTCAGGGTTGATTTCCTTTATGATTGACTGATTTGATATCCTTGCTCTCCAAAGAACTCTCATGAGTCTTCTCCAGCATCACAGTTCGAAAGGATCAATTCTTTGGTGCTCAGTCTTCTTTATGGTCCAGCTCTCTGGGAAAAACATAGCTTTGGCTATATGGATCTTTGTTGGCAAAGTGATGTCTCTGTGTGGTTTTATTTTAATTTAATTTTTATTGAAAGATAGTTGTCTTACAGAATTTTGTTGTTTTCTATCAAACTCCAACATGAATCAGCCATAGGTATACA